CTTTATTTTCTTCTGCACTTATTATACAAGTCATTTAGCACTGATACATTATATATTATTTATATATATAAAATACACACACACACACACACACACACACAATTTGTCTATGCTTATCTCCACTAGACAGGAAGAACTATGAGACCAGGGACTTCGGGTTTGTTTTGTTCATTGCTCTGTCTCCATTGTGGAAAATACTGTCTGGTATTTAGAAAGCACTCAAAAAACTACATACTAAATAAAAATTTAAAAATTACATACTAAATGAATGGGCACTTTCAGAGACAGATGGCATTTTTTCCTTTTCGTAGGTGGGGGTTAAGTCACATAACCAATAATTGGCAGAGCTGGGCTTCAAAGCCAGATCACTTTGAGTACTATATCAAAGTTCTGAACAGCTATGCTACTTTGTTTCAGAGTCTGAGAGGCCAAACTCCTAAGCAGAGAGATGATTATAAAACAGGGCAGTTAAAATGACTGCCTATGGGAACAGAAATCAATTTATTCCTCTGGAGGACGATCTGAGAATAGCTAAAAATTGAAAGTAACAGCCTCTCTTAAAGGAATTTAAATCAAATAATCAGACATGAGGGAAACATCGTCTTTATACAAGGATGTTTATCACAGAATTGTTTACAACAGCAAAGACCTGGAAACAACAAAAAAGTCCCCACTAGAGAATGACAACATGGAATGGAATTGATGTGGACTCAGGAAGTGACAGAAGATCACACTCAATGTGATCAATATCCTAAGGAGCTGGAGGCAAGGCCATGTGGTTACAGTCTGAGGGTGTGGATAAGAGTCACATAGAGAGGGACCTTGAGAGTGATGAAGGTTTGGAGGAGCTGTTGTGGACAACGGGAGTGAAAATAGCCACAGAGAAGTAAAAAAGATTGAGAGATGGTGTAGGTGGCTTGGCTGAAGATGAAGACTGTGAAAGGGGTGACAATCTGTATAGCCGTGTCACTTTGTAGTAGTATTCTGATGTCACAACAAGACCCCCCTGATCCATGCAGGCTGGAGTTGTGCTGGGCATATGTAAATGAACAGAAAATGCTGGGTGAATGATTCTAATAATCTACCATGTGGTCCAAGCTGGGAAAGGAAGGAGAGGCCAGGAAAAGGCTGATACACTAGGAAAAGTACAGAGATGAAGGCATAGATAACCCTCTGGCACAAAGGAATAATGCATATAAGATGTCCCTAGGTTAAAGAGTGGGGCATAATTGTGCATGAGATCAAAACTGAAGCAACTCCAGGTACTAACATCTAGGGATGTATCCTGTGGCTAACTGGAGGGAAGTCCAGATTGGGAAGGTCCAGAAATTGCGAGTGAAGAGTGTTAGTTTGGTCATCGCACTGACACTGAAGACTTTTAAGCAAATGACTGGTGCTTGAGTGGAGACAAAATGGTTAAGCAAGTGCCAAGCTGTTGAAAACCAATGCACTTGTTCATACCTATTTTGTGCCAGTCATTTACATACATTGTTTTGTTTCACCTTCATAACAGTCAGTGGCACAGCAAGAACAGAGAGATTGAAGGACTAGACTTGGAGAGCTCTCAACCAATGTCAAAGTTGTGAGGAGTTCATTCGACTGGAAGGAAACCGAAAAGAGAATATACTGCTGTCAGTGAAGCGTCTGATTGTGAACATGTTGAGTTAATGTTGTTGTTGGAATATCTTGATGGAGGTGTCCACAAGCACTTAGAGATGTAGAGCTAAGGCTTGGCAAAAAGGTCTGGGTTGAAGATAATTGATTTATTTGTTAAAGGCATGATAATTGAGACCAGGGTGTCACCTGAGAATGGAATCTAATGAAACAAAAGAGATCTTTGGCATGGGTTCATATGTGGACACTGTATAGCACAAGGAGTCAGCAATTTAAAACATGTAAGTAGCATATCATGGTAGACTGTGAAGTTCTCCTACGTGGTTTGTAGCTCCTCCCTTCAAGAGGTGAGGTTTACTTCTCCACCCTTTAAACAGAGGCTGGCATTGTGACTGACTTTAATTAATGCACTGTGCCACAGGGATCTTACACAAGTTTCAAACCTAGGCCTCAAGTGGTCCTATACTTTCTGCTGTCTCAATGGGGACCCTTCTGCAACCATATGAACACATCTGAAAGAGCCTGTTCGAAGACGAGGGAACATGTGGCAAGAGACTGTTTTGGACTTCTTCCCTGAAGGACCAGCTATGTAAGTAAGCTCACCCAGGAAAGCTGAGCCTAAACTAGACCACAAAATTCATTCTCTGAGCCCAGGCCAAATTGAGGAGCTACAGAATCTTGAGCCAATTAAAAGAGTTGTTGGTCTCAGCTATGATGTTTAGGAGTGTTTTTGTTACACAGCAACAGATAACTGATATACATATGGTCTCAGAACCAAAAGCAAAAACAGCCTAAGTAAACACACTGCAGAGAGGTCAACTTGGATGAGGACTTGAAGAAGAACAGTTTCCCAGTTCAAAGATGTGGTACAGGAAGGGGTGAGACAACAAAGTTGGAAAGTGAGTTTTAATTATTTACAGGGGTTATTTAGAGGGCTGGGGGTGAGGATGGGGCAGAAGAATTATAGAATTTCATTTTTAATATCTGTGTACCTCAGGCATGTACTGCCTACACAATACTTTTAAAAGCTTTATTGATAATTGTGTAATTTTTCTCGTAATTCAATATTTATGTTTTAAAAACCAAGTAGTCATTAGAGAACAGAGTTGAGTGGTTTAGACCAGTGATTCCAGAGAACAGACAAACCAGCTGTATCCCACCTGGGACGTTTTACAGAATACTGAGTACAGGGTCCTACCCTTGGCTATTCTGATTCAATCAGACTGGACAAGGCCCAGGGAAGCTGTTTTTTCACATAGCTCCCCAGATGTTGAGGTTGTCAAGGGAGACTAGAGTTCTGAAGACACACGGTAGGAAATGCCTTTATTTCTGGGTCTAAAAAGGAGAACACTGATTTTCAAACTGAGCTTCTGAAAACCAAGATTCCTAGGAAAAAAAAGCAAGTATGACTTATTGCATGATTACCACGTCCAAGCCCTTTCTGTTACCTTATTTTATATTCACCCTCCCCCATTTGACAGATGAAAAAATTGAGGCTCAGAGAGGGGATGTACTTTGTCCAAGCTTAGCTAGATGGAGTCAGGATTTAAATCCAGACTACCCAATGTCAGAGTTTTTCTGTTTTGTTTTGTTTTTTACAGGAAAACAAAATCTAGTTACTCTATAGAATCAGTTCAATTTTAAGGTTTTTTTCTCATATATGTATTAGGCTTTTGACATATGCTATCACTTATTTTCACTAAACGGTGAGCTCATCTAGGATGGGAAGGAATTATGTCTTTATCCCCTTATCTCCAGGGCCCAGCACATAGTTTGTTGAATAAGTACGTGAATGTATACAATTTGTGATCTGAACACAAGTTTGTAGATGCCTCATTTTAAAATTAATATTCCAGTCACTTTAGAGTTTTTGTCTATAGAGAACACTGCATTTCAAAAGGACAAGTTCACTGGGATTGACGGGTGGTAGACAGCAGATTGCAAGGGTTATACATTCATTAAGGATTGATGAGAAAAGGGAATCTGCCAATTCAATGCTATTTTTCCCCAAAGGAGGCAGTGAATGCAAAGAAAACAGGTGGATCCATCTCAGGGAGGGAGACAGGACAAACTTGGGACACGCTGATGACCATGAAGATGGGAAGGTGAAGATGGAAGAAGCAGATGGGATCCATGGGAGGCAAGACCTAGGGTGGTTAAAGAGGGGTCCTAGGGGAATTAGCCCGGGGAAGGAGGGACATATGTTTCTCTGAATCTAGGAAAACAAAGGTTGTCAGAGATGCAGCAGCGTGTTTTGTTTTTTTGCAGCCCAGTACTGGGGATTGAACCCAGGGCCTTCTCACTGCTACATCCTCCAACCAATCTTTCTTTTTTTTTTTTTTAATTTGCAGAGAGGGTCTCGATAAATTGCTAAATTGCCCAGGCTGGGCTCCACCTTGCAGTCCTCTTGCAGTCCCTCTCAGGGTGCTGGGATTGGACCACCACTCCAAGCTAGGAGTTTTCCAAGGGAGAAAGGAAGAGCAGTAGAAAGCTGCACTTTAGGAAGGCGAGAGCCGTGCAGTTGAAGTTTCTCTTCCAGCCTTCACCATATAGAGCCATGGGTCAAAAATTTAACTCCAAAATTCTGGCGACAGTCAGGGAGCTGCGAACTTTTCTTTTTAAGTATTATCTACTATCAGCACGGTTTTATGTGAAATAGAGAAGTAGTATTTAATACACTGAAAAAGGTAGAACCGATATAATCTCAATAAATCTACTCTGCTTCATCACCATGTCACTCCGCTGGCCTTATTTTTCTCATTTCGCCAGGGACGATGATGATTCCATCCCCTAGGACAAGTGCGTGGGGAGAGCGGCTGCAAACCGCCCACGCCGGCGGCAGGCAGCCGCGTCCCTTGCCGTGGCCTCGGCGCCTGGCAACCCCGCGGCTCTGGCGCCCCGACCGCCGGGTGCGGGCTGCAGTTCGACCCCGAGCAGGTCCAGGGCAGCGAGCCGGGCACTCAGCCGGCGGCCAGCCTCTGTCCACGCCGAGGGCCAGCGGGGCGCAGACCCCCGGGGCCACGGCAGTGTGGGGCGCACGCAGCCTGGATCCGGGCCGCCGCGCCCGCCCCGCCCGCAGCCCCGCCCGCAGCCCCACCACGCCTTTTCCCCCCCGCACTTCAGCGCCCACGAGGCCCGCGGGGCAGCGTGGTGGGGGCGGGGCTGCAGCTCAGGGGTCTCGGTGCCCGCGTGTCCTCCTCCGACGGCTCTGCCCGAGCTCCGGCCCCGCGCACCTAAGGGCCTGCGTACCCGGGGCCCCGCACGCCCGAAGCCACCTGGGGGTCCGGCGCCCACGCCACGCCCGCCCCCGAGGTCCGCGCCTCCGTCAGGCGCCCACGCGGGGCACCTGGAGGGCCCGGCGCTGCCCGTCCCTCCGCGCGCTCTACCTGTCGTAGCTCCAGCGGCTGTAGGACAGGGTCCGGTGGCTGCTGACTCCTTCCATCGCCGCCTCCGGACTCGGGTCCCGCTCTGAGGGCGGCGGCGGCTGCGCCCGGCTCAGCGACTCCTCGCTGGCTGCGGGTCTGGACTGTACCATTCGACCCCCCCGGGGGTGACCCCCACCGGCTGTGCCAATGGCGAGGGCGCGCGGGCTGCGGGGACCCGAGCCCATGGGGGCCCCTCCCTTGGGCGCGGGTCCCGTGGGGGCGCGGCTGCTGCAGCCCGACTGCTTATTTATTTATTTCCGATGTGTGCCCCGCGTCGCCATGGCAACCGCCCCGTCTTTTCCGGCGTCACTAGGGCACCGCTGATTTCAAACCTTCCCGGGTCAGGGACTGCTAAGAGGCTGTTCCATCTGCTTGCGTGGGAATCCCGGATACGCTGTCCTTACTCAGGGCCCTTCTGCAGAGATGCCTCCTCCTTTCTGTCCTGGGAATCTCCACCCTCCTTTCGCTCCCACCTTCCTCCCACAAGTTCCCTTTTTTTAGGGAATGGGAATATCCATCCCCGTAATTTCCTAGATTCCCCAACGCGGACCGCCTTCTTTAGCCACCTTTCCTTCTCTCCAAACTGTCTCCCTCCTTACCGGAACAGAAAGCCACCCTTCCTCCCTCTTCCCCCACCGGCTTCCCTGGGCCCCTGTCTAGCATATTGTGGCTCTCTTGGGTTCTGAAAACCAAGTTCTGCAAACACTCCCATTTCTAGGTCATCTCGTTCTGTTTATGTCCCTTTGTGCTTTCCCTTCATTACTAAAAATCCTTTGGAAAGCATCCAGTTGTCTTGGTTCAACCAGGGGAGAGTGTCTTTATATCTGGCTGATGGGGACCCGAGAAAAAAAGCTACAGAGAAGGGTGCCCTGGCTGGGGCAGATGGGATAGGTAGAGGGGCTGGGTCATTTCAGTGGGCCAAGCCCCTCTTTCCCTTCCCCCACCCTGGGCTGCTGGCTGAGGGATTTACAGGTATAATCTTCTTGCTTTCTTGCCGAGGTCATAGAAGCCTAAGAAAGACCTTTCAGTGCAGCTGTTATGGGAAGGTTGTGATAACTTCCCGCTGGGGTGAGAGTCCTAGTGGAGGTGCCTGGGCTTCCTGGAAGTGGAGGGCAGGGAGGGAGGGAGGCCTTGGGTTGTTCCAGTTCAGATCCTGCCAACTCCTGTGAATCTGGAGTTAACCCTGTGTGTTACAAAGGTTGCAGCTGGTAGTGCACCAGTTGAATCCGGTTTTTGAAGTGTTTGTCCTGAACAATGTTTTTTTCATTGAATAGATTGATGACACTTAAAAAATCAGGACATTTAATAGATGATCTAGTTTTCCATCCTCTCTTGAATATTAAAATCTGGCATCTGTGGGGCTATCTTCCCTTCAGCATGCCTGGTGCAGAGGAGAGAAGTGGCTGTTCTCCATGCAGGAACCAGGCAGCATGCTGTTCTACCAGCCTCCAGCTCCACCCAGCCAACTTCTTTTGGATATGGGATCCCTGTTGCATTTGCGTTTGCCACCCATATGCAATACAGTCCTCTCTGTGACCCCTAAAGTTTCCCATTGGCTCTCAGAGCTGCCCACACCATATTTGCCGAGGGCCAGTGTGTTAATCTTGATTGTCAACTTAATTAAATGAAGAAGCACCTAGGAAATTAAAAAGTACACTTCTGGATGTGTCTGTGAGCGTGTTTCCAGAGATGACCTGCATGTGGGACAGCAAACTTGATGGGGGACACTCACCCAGAATGTGCATGGCATCACTCATTCCCCACCCCCCCCCAGGGGGGGGCGTTCTGGATGATGGAACAAAAGCAGAAGGAAACCTGATAGCACAGTCCTCCCCTGCCCAATCCCAGTCTTTGCTTCCTGACTTCCACAAGATGAACAACTTTGCCCCACCATACCCTCTGCCCCACCATGATGTTGTGCCTCACCTCAGGCTCACAGTGATGAAACCAGCCAACCACAGACTGAGACTTCCGAGACCATGAGCTGGAATCAATCTTTCCACCTTTAAATTGTCTTTCTCAGATATTTTGTCACTGCGACAGAAAGCTAACAGCCAGATTCTTAGCCAAACAGGTACCAAACAGACTCTGGCTTTTTGACTGACTCAGAAAAACCATTGTTTCTGAGCAGCTTCTTGAGAGTGAAACTCCTAACATACCCATGATCTCAGGGGTAGTGGATTGAGATTCTAGAACCAACTTGTTGTCACTGTGCTGCCTTATTTTGTTGTTCAGGAAGGGATGAAGAGTGAGCTTCTCTATCTGTGAGGTCTCCCACAGAAACTGCAGGGCAGGAAGCCACTGCTCCTGACCCATATGAGACAAGCCCCAAGGAAATTCCTTCTCCAAAGGACTAATGGAAATGTAATAGGACCAGAAAAGGAATTCCCTCAAGAAGAGAGTTCCTCCTTCATGTGGCAGCATCAACATACTCCAGCTCTTGCTAGCTCAGAACCAGAAGACATAGAGGACTCCTGAGACTGACATCAGGCCCTGGCTGCCAGGGCCCTGCAGCTTTCCCAGGTGAGGCCTCTGAAGGTGGTAGTGAGACACACAGATTCTGCAGAAAGCATCTATTGAGTTCTGCGGCTATAAGAGCCAACAGCAGGTATACTGAGCTCACCTCCAAATCCTGATTCCTCTAGAAGTAGAAAGCAGATTAGGGCCGGGTGTCCTGAGCATGAGCTGAAAGCCTTGGGGAGCCTAATACCCTAGACATTGCTAGGCAGATGGAAGAGCCAAACAAAACAAAACAAAACCCCCAAACCAGGAAAAAGACCCTTATCAGCGCCCTGGTTATATAGTAACATCCTATGATGGGGGGACATATATGCCAAGGTCTTTGTTTTTGTTTCTTTTGTGACAGGGTCTTGGTTTCTTTTGTGACAGGTTGTCTAGGCCAAACTTGAAATTACTATGTAGCCCAGGCTGGCCTCAACTCATGATCCTCCTGCCTTAACTTCTCGAGTACTAGGATTACAGATAATGCACCCCCACTCCTGGTGTTACAGATGGCAGTTTTAGAGCCTGTCTTCAAACTTAGATATTCCCCTCCTCGATCTATGTCACCTCGCCTTGAACTATGAATTCTAAGTCAAGTATTAAAAAGCCTTTAATGGGCCGGGGATTTAGCTCAGTGATTCCACCGCCTGCCTCGAAAGCACAAGGACCCAAGTTTGATGCCCGGTACCAAAAAAAAAAAAGAAAGAAAAAGGGAACATTGAAGGATTTTTTTTGGTACGGGAGATCAAACTTGGGTCCTTGTGCTTGCAAGGCAGGTGGTGGAACCACTGAGCTAAATCCCCGGCCTTGTGTGTTCCCTTTTTCACTGGGGCGCTGAGCCACCACATTAGAAGTCTGACTACTGTGAAACTGCCATGCTGCTAGGAAGCCTAAGCTATAAGGACAGGTCATATGCAGATGCCTCAGTTGACAGCCCCAGCTAAACCCAGCTTTGGAGTCACTACCACCCCTAGGTATAACAAACAGAGCTATCACATGAAATAAGTAAATGCTTATTACTTATTGTAATGCAGGATTCAGGTCCCTGCACCATTCCTGGCTGTTTGCAGATGTCTCTATAGTACTATGATTCTGAAAGTTGGACTTTCCTATGGGATTTCTTTCCTATACATGCTGACACCTGCATGACCAAGGTCAAGAGGTGAAGATGTCCATTTCTGCTCTGAGAGATCAGCTTTGTCTCCAGGGAGCACTTTGACACATTAATGGGCTATTTCCTCTCCCACTCACCACCCAGGGTGGAGGCTTCACAGTCACAGGCCCAAGTATACAATGCAATCTCACCCAGTAACCCCAGTTACAGACTGAATATTTGTGTTCTCCCACAACTGCTATGTTGAAATCTAGCTCCTAAGGTTATCTGAGAGATAATTACGTCACGAGACCTGAGAAAGCTCACTACCCCCTTTCTCCATGTGAGGACACATCAAGAAGGCAGAGATGTCTAAGCCAGGAAGTGAGCCCTTTCCAGACTCTGAATCAGCCCAGTGCCTTGACTTTGAATGTTCCAGTCTCCAGAACTACAAGAAATAAATTTCTGGCTTTTATAAGCCACATAGCTTTTTTTTTTTCTTTTTTTTTTTTTGTACCAGGGATTGAACTCGGGAACTTGCACTTGTGAGGCAGGCGGCAGAACCACTGAGCTAAATCCCCAGCCCCCCACTCCTTTCTACTACACACAGTGGAGTTTGTTCATGCAGAACACTGTCACCCTTTTCTAAATCTTCAAGTCTTTTACAAGTGAAAGGTGAGATAAGAATAGGAATCTGAGGGATTCATATAGACTTACAGGTATTTTTTCTTAACATCTCTAACTCTGCTTCCTGCGGCAGGAACAGGTCTGTGTATCTCCCCAGAAAAGAAGCCCACCCTGGATAGCTCCAGCTCTCACTGAGTGAGGGTGAGGGATGCCTGGTATGGGCTATTTGGAAACCTGAGCAAGAGGCCAGCCAGGGCTGGCAGCTGAATGGGCCAAGAGAGGAGTCAATATCAAGGTTCAGCCATTAGTTTTCAAGCAGAGCCAGAAGCTCTTAAAATTCTTGGTAGAGACAATGATTTTCAAAACCATGGAATTTAAGAACAATTGCAGAGTTAGAATTATTCATGCAGTGAAAAGGTTTATTATCAAGAATTAAGGGTTTATATATATTTTTTGAGAGGATACCTGGGATCTAACTCAGGACCTTGTGCTTTTGAGGTAGGTGCTGGCACCAGTGAGCTAAATCCCCATCCCAAGGTTGTATATTTTTTAATGGACAAAAATACTTGCTTCTTTGTTGGTTTGTTTTGTTTTTTTTAGTACCGGGGATCGAACTCAGGACTGTGTGCTTGCGTGGCAGGCACTGGAACTACTGAGCTAAATCCCGGACACCCTTGGTTCTTTGTTGTTTTTTCTCTTATTATTTTTTTTTCTTCCTCCTACAGAGAAATAGAGATCAGAGACAGAAAACTGTAAACTATAAACTATAGTTGGTGTTAGCTTTATTGAAAGTTCAAATCACAGAATGCCATTTCTGGCATCTCTGAACTTAATGAATGATCAGTGAGGACATGATCAGATGTGGGATATCAT